ATCCACGACGTAACGTGTAGCTAAAATTTATTTTACGTCGTAACGCGAACCTCCTCGTTTACGTCGTAATTTTTACGTCGTAACGTGTCATGCTAAATATAATCACGTCGTGATATATTTGAAGACTTTTAATAAGGACGGGACGACCTTCAAAGTACACTGAAGGATAATAGATTTCTCGCCGTAAAATAGACGTTGGTATATTTTACGACGTAACGATGCGAGTACAAGGTTTACGTCGTAAATTTTACGACGTGATACGTGACTGGGGAATTTGACCCCCTGGACGTGAAAAAGGTGTCAGAAAGTCAAAAATGTGCTCAAAGTGTTTTGAATAGTAATGAACGCCATATTAAAACGCAATAACGTAGACAGTCTAATTATATGTACACAATACGAATATCTTTGTGTTGTTAGCTGCCGGATAGCTACCATCGTCTATCACTAGAGTCTGTTTTTTAAAGTGAGCAGAACTAAAATATTGTACAGTGTTGGAATTCTTGCCGTTCTAGGTGCCTTAGTAAGCGAACAGCTTGCAAATGAAGAACTAATTGATCCGTCTTGATCTTGTGATCTAAGCTCGAGGTGCATTCAGTGAGTTTTAGTTTGATGCAAGAAATTCAAAGGTGGAAACTGACGAAAATTGCTTCTTTTTGTAGATTGAACCTTAAGAAAAATCACTGAAACACAGATCAATGGCTAAAGCCGAAATTTAGTATGTACTCGGCTTTTGTTAACTTAACGTCAGTTGCTTTGTTCCCTTGCACATTTGAAGCTTCCGCTTTGATTCTTTCGAATCATCATTCCCCCCTTTTTTGCTGTGTAGCAAAGCTTCGGTGTGGTTTTGAAACGAACATTTTGATGCGTTTGCAGATCCTAAGTTTTTAGTTGAAAAGAAGAAGAGTGTCTACAATTTTTGCCCTGCATGTTCATTTTTCGTGACATGGCTGTCTTACTGGTCTTCTAATCTTTCCTGTATGACGTTGTACAAGTGAGGTGATTCCGCACTGCCGAATTCTATTTCCTTTCGAAACAATGTTTATTATAATTGAGTATAGTTTATCAGTGTCTGTATCGTTATCAGAACAGCAACCTATTCGAACGTCTTTACATACAGACCAGATCGAATCAGACGTATCATTGGATTATGAGGGACTGAAAATTTGCAATTGATGAATTCTCCGTAATATAAGAAGCTGTCTTAATAAAAGCCTGGCCTCATTGAAATTAAGATTGTACGTGTCAAGTTTGGGGCGGGACGTGGCTGTTTCAGTTTTAATCGTTCCAAAATAGTTATTTTATAAAGCTTTAGTGCCTATCTAGGATGATGTTGTTTGTATTTTAAGTGTCTTCCAAGCATCTTATTTTTATTTTTTTAAAAAATTGTTACGTAAACGGCTCACCGGAAAACCATTTAGTTTTATTAAATGATATACTGTTAACCTTGATCGATTACTAAAGTAGGCCTAAATAGCTTTGCTACATTCGTCAACACAGCCGCATACGTGTAAGAGGGACCTCTTTTTTATGATTACGATTTTATCCTCCTTGAATTCCTAAAACAGTGTACCGAGTTTCACCTGAAATCATGACAAGTTTAATTTTATTTTTAATTGTAACGATGGGTATTTCTTTGTGCTTTTCAGCTCTAACAAGGAAATCATGGAAAGGTTATTAGCCATGCAGAGAATACAGCGCCAAAATGACATTCTTCAACAGTTCCATATGAAACTGCGGGCAGATACAGACCCAGAACCTGTGACAAATTATTTGTATCAAGCGAAAATTATTGATGAATACGCCTTGGAGGAGATACTTTCAATGCAAACACGTCGGAATAAGAATAAGGCTTTGCTCATTAAGCTCAGAAAAGTAGAAGACCCGAATGCTTTCTCAGAGTTTGTGAATGGATTGGAAAAGGAGCAACCTCATCTGGCTTGCATTCTTTTGAAAGAAGGTTAATGATGGCAACTGTTTTTTTCTGCCAGGGGTGATCAGAGTATAAACCTTGATCATAGAGGAAAACTAATGCTATATATTTGCGGGGTTTTTTGCAGAGAAAAGTAGACTCTACAAATTAGAAAAAGAGCTTGTAACAGTCAAAACTGAACGGTTGCTGGTATTGGAAACAGAGAAGGAGGAGCTTAAGACCACGTGCAAGAGTTTAGAAGAACAGTTGCAGTTCTGGCCGAGAACTTTACAGGACAGCAATTTGGAAAGATCAGGCTATGATGAAAGGAGCGGCGCTGCTGCATTAAGTGTCAACGAAGGCGACAACATAAGAGGTAAGAAATCACCATGATTTTGTATAAAGTTATCTTTGTAAAACTTCCGGAGGTAATCTTACATTGTTTGATCACAAGTGCACAAACTACGCGGTCAACCGAAGTGTCCGAATTTTAATTTTACTCAATTATTGTTTCACAGTGTGAAGCTAGAGGGATGCGTAATTAGACTAAGGGCCAGGGGTCTCATTATAGTTTAGGCTATTCTTTGATACACTTTGTTCAAGATGGAACGCGAAAAATTCCATACCGAGTAGACTATATTTTCGTTCGGCTGCTTATCCCTCAAGACTAGCCTGTGAACAGGCTCTCTGTTTGGGGAAAGGGTAAAAAAATCGCGGGCTACTGAAGACAAAATAGAAAGTCAAGAATAACGTTAACATTGTATATTTATTACACGTAGAGCCACTAACCAGTTTGGAGAACGGCGATTTAGAAACGCCGTTATTTGATAATTCAACGAGAGGGCAGTCGCAAGGAATGGGACAGGGCCAAAGAAGTAGACCCTCGACACGTCTAAGAAACGAGTTCACAAAAACTAAAGAATGTAAGTACAAATAATCGGCTGCTCTTTTAGAGGGTGTCCCAAAAGTTCGTTCCTCTACTCCCTAAATCTGTAATGCAGTACGATTGGACTTGGTAAGCAAATCGTGTAAACAAAAGTTGTGTCTTTCAAATATAATTCAATATTTTATACTTGTTGTACCATCTTTTGACTCTAATATTCGATTTGTGTACATCCACGCCATAGGTGCGCGTGCGCGAGTTTATTTCCCACCAAAGATTTTTTGTCTTTGTAACCCGCATTGCGCGAACTCCTTCCCTGTTTTTTTTTGTTGTGAATATTATTATGAAAGATAAACCCCTTTAACGCAAAAACGTTCAGCCGCGTGAGAGCATAAGCATGCATACTGCGATTTACTGGCTTTTCAGTCGAAGAAACTGCTGAAAAACTGGAAAAAACCAAATGTTGGGCGGGAAAATGGTCATCGAGAAAAGAAGGTTTTGAAGACAGGAAACGAAGGGGAAGACCGAAAGTCCTGAATAAAGCAGCTAAAATAGTTTTAAAGAAAACTAGGCACAAAAGACGAAACTTGACATGGTACTCCCCTCACAACAGTTAGCTAGCGAAGGTTAGATGCCCCTGAGATGCCGGGCAAAAAAAGCATTTCTTAGTCCGCCAAGCAACGATCAGCTCGTCTCAAATTTGTAAAGAGGTACAAAAGTCTTACTGTGAAAAGGGGCCGGGATGATTATCTTTTTTTGGATGAATGCCCAAAGTCTATTTAGCGTATGTAATTAGAGGAACGAACTTTTGGGACAGCCTGTAAAGTTGCCGCGCATAAAAACCGGGAACAGTTTTAATCTCCATCTAGTCCGGGTAAATTTGGCAAAAAATATATGTGACAGCTTTTGCAAGACCGGGCAAAAAAATCAAATGCCTCGAAAAGATGTCCTTTCAATTTAATTCAAGGAGTGTTTGGCCACTTGGTTACCAAACAGATCTTAACACAGTTGTTTAACAAGTGTGCTCTGCCTTATACGACCACGATATGTAGGCAGAGTCTACACTAATCAATGACGTCAAGGAGTTTTGAAGAACAATAAAGTATTCGTTCAAAAGAAATGGTGTTGCAGAAAGTGTACAGCCAGGTGAGAATTTAGGTAGCTCTGCTTTTCCATTTCAGACCATTTCAGGCAAGTGAGAGACTTTGATGAGGGAGTCATTCACTACCTTGGTTTAAATGCCGGCGTTAGCAAATGGAGGAATCCTGCTCGAGTACCATCATCCGGAGTGAAAGTAACCTACTGCGATGGGGAAGGTCGTGAAGACCCTGAAAATATCCTCGAATATTTCAACCCAGTCAACAGTTACACACGATCGGGTTGGTGTCTGGATTTGGGAAAGTACTACTCGCTTCGGCTTACTGACTATACTTTGAGGCAACGTGGAAGTAATTCAAAGAATTTCTTACAAAACTTTAAGATCCAAGGAAGGCTTAATGATGACGATGAGTGGAGTTTACTGAACAGACATTATAAAGTCAACTGGAAGTTACGGGAATGGTCATACTATGGGAAATCAGGCGATAAAATTAAACCGGTGCCATGCAAAACAAAGACATGGTCTGTGGAAGGAGAACTAAAAGCCCATCGTCAGTTTCAAATTGTTCAATTAAGAGATTCAATGCCTGCAGGTGCACCTCAAATGTCCCTCGCTGGTATCGAGCTATATGGAGTGCTGAGTGTACCAGATTTTGATTAAAAAACGTTTGCATATGTCTGATTATTCATTTTTTTGCTCGTGTACAACTTATTGTAATCACAAGTAACTTGAAATTCAGACGCTTTATATACCTAGAACTAGTATACCTAAAGGGTAGAAAGGCTGCCGTAGAGAAGGAATCGTGAAGAAATGGAATTAAATTAAGTGTGAAGTTTTAAGTAGAAGGGGATATGAGGCTAAGAATCTTTGTCAGTGATGACCTAAATTTAGAAATTATCTTCCTTTTGAGAATCGCGTTTAAGTTGACTAACTTAATTATGAGCTAGTTTTAGTATTTTTCTAATAACGTGCTCGCGTCGCGTCAGGAGCGGCCAGATAATTTTCGATTTTTGATATGTATAATAAGTTCAATCATTCTCGCTTTCAACTGAATGACTGAAATTTCTTTTGAAACTTTGATTTGGCGATAAGAGCAAATTTTCTAACGAAACTTAAAATTCTTGAGTTTAAGACTGTTTATATCATCTACCAAGTTTAAGGAACTTTGTTGGACTGCGATCTGCGCTACAAGATAGGTTTGAGAAACGACAATAAAAACACAACATTAACTTGCATTTTGGCCAACCAAGTCACGAATCAAACACCAATTTAAACAATTTTGGATGGCATTTATGCTCAATTTTTGATAAATATGGTACAAAAATTTGGGGCTCGTAGCTCTAATGCTCCTTGTGTGATTCTCGCTTAGAACAGTAAAGGTTGCGGCTATATGGCCGGTAACCGGTCAAGATTTTCAAAACACTAAATGACCGGCAGTCCGATATTTTTTCCAATAATTTTGACAAATCGAATCGGGCCCCTAGGAGGAGCTAATGGGATGGTATCAATGGAGTTAAGAACAAGAATTCGAGTTATCGGGGTAAATTTCTGACTTTTTGATCAAGTGAAAGATTGAAATTTTAGTTCGAGTCGGGGGGAATTCGAGTTCTCCGAATTTGAGCCGGTCAACCGAGAAAAAAGGCCCAGAGGTGAGGTAAAATTGGACTTAGTTAGTTCGAGTTAGCGTGGACTGGCGAGTTATCCGAGTTCGGGTTATCGGAGTTCTACTACTAAGGGTCTGGTACTGGTTTTCATCTTCGTCCACAATAGCGAACAATAGGGTATAGTAGTGATTGTATAGGTGAAAAGATGCAATAATTATTGTTAGGAGCCGATTACTGTTCAGACAGTTTTTGCCCCGGTAAATTAATTGGCTTCTGGGAATTTCTTGGGTAGTTTTTGCGTGACATTGAATCACCAAGGACATAGAAGTGATTTCATTGATTAGCGTTTTCATTACATGTACCCTATGGAATTGCCGCGTAAAGATTAGAAAATGTCATTAAATTGCGGCTTTAATATTGCCACTCAAATTAATTTTTGTAAAATGGGCTTAAAAGCGCAAGAGGCCGTGTAAACGCAACGGCCGACTTTACGAAACTATTTTCCTTTGGCCTGCGAACAGGCGCTACTTTATCTCGATACGAACTTGCCTTCGAAACTATGAATAAGTCTAGCCTCTTTTTTGGCCATAATATCAATTTGTTCTTAGCTAGTCAAAATCTATTAATAGTAGCATTCTTATAACATGCCATTAGATCCATTTTAAACGAGCACAAAGACCGCCCTCGGACAATCCCTTCCCCCATCCACCGCGCAGCTCCTTACGCACTGCAATATTTGGGACGAGTGAAAGCTGCTTGTTCATATTCGTAATGCTGCCTTGGCCGCCAACTTTGATTTTATCACTTACAATAGGCTAGGCACTGGTTTAGAGCGATGGAAGGAGGCAGATGGCAGGAGGGGTTTAGAACTAAGCTTTGCGGTTACGCGAGCAGTAACTATGTTGCGCAGCCAGCAAACGCCTGCAGTCATGATGTAGGCTTAGAGATCATGTAACGTTTTACAAAACTGAAATGTTGAAGCGTTCATGAGACTTGTTCCTTCGATATATTTAGTAATTATTGAATTCTGCTTTCGTACGATATGAAGAATTCTGCAGATCTCGGAGGGTGTTATCCACCTCGTCGATAATACCTTCCTGGATCTGCAGGCGGAATTCTTCATATCACACGAAAGCCGAATTCAATAATTGCTAAATTATTCCTTCGAAATAATTCCCATGACGTTTAAAAACAAGCTAAAACATTCTGACCTTGGTCGATGTAAGTTCATATCGATAACGCATCTTTATCGCGAAGTTTAGGAGAAAAAGGACTGTTCAGGTCTACAGATACACTGCAAATAGCAGATGTCCTCCGTCTTCATTCTGTTCTTGCCAGTTTATAGACAATATTTCGCCGTGAATCGAGTAAAATATTCCGCCGACCGTTCAGCCATTTTGTTCTCACTACAATTTTCTCACTACCAAAACAACTGAACCTCGTCCCCGGGTTTTTGTCGGTTAACGGTTCAATAACCTGCAACCAGGCTGCACTTTTGACGTCATTTTGACGTCATCGGTTCAGTATGACCAAATTCCTGCCAAATTTGGTCAACAGTAGCTGGTTATGGTGAATTATGCGTGTGGTTTTAGTTAATCAGAAACGGGCAAATATTTTGAATGAATGACAATATACACTTAAAGTCAGGTTCCGAGGGAAACAGTTAGCTTGTCAAGGGAAACATCAGGACTCGAGACTGGTTTCCCGAGGAACCTGACATTAAGTTTATTGCGATGTACAAGTTTGTGTAGATTTCGTCCGCGAAGTACTGCTCGCGTTTCATAATCGGTTCGAGGTAAGCATGGGCGGAGGGTTTACTAGTTATTGAACGCAATTTCATACACAGAAGACTTATTTGATTCCGTCAATCTCAAAAAGAGAAATACACACTTGTATGTCAACATATGCATTCAGCCAAGCGATCACGCAATAAGGTTTGCAGTCTAAACATACGCAGTACGAATGTCTTTGATGTTACGGTTTTGCGGTAGCTACTATTGTCTGCAATTGTGAGCCTGTTAAGTCTACACAGAGAGTGTAACACGGTTTATTGAAAGAAATTAGACGCTACTGAGATGTACTCTAAATAAGTGCTTAGTAAAGGCTGGTTTTCATCAGAGTCGTAAGTGGACTCAGAAGAATCAAGGTCGGTACACACTAGGCGACAGGTTGCTGCAACAAGTCGCGGCGACAGAACACTCCATGTGTACAGGTCGGGCGACTAGTTGCAGCAACAAGGTGAGGCGACACGTCGCAGCGACAAATCGCTTCGTGTGTACTGGAGAATTTTTGTGAAAATCTTTGTCTCCGCAACAGAATTTTGTCGCTGCAACAAGTCGCAAAAAATCAAATCAGACTGAATCTGTGCGACTTGTTGCGGCGACAAATTCTGTTGCAGCGACAAAGATTTTCACAAAAATTCTCCAGTACACACGAAGCGATTTGTCGCTGCAACGTGTCGCCGCGACATGTTGCTGCAACTTGTCGCCTAGTGTGTACCGACCTTCAGAGCGTTTCCATTTTCTTCCGACTCCGCTTACGACTCCGTCGCTTACGTTCCGCTTATGATCTAGTGAAAACCAGATTGTCGGAGTCGGAAGGGGAGTGGAAGAATAAGCCAATCAGAATGGACGTTCCCACGCTTTGCGATTGGTTTGGTTCTTCTGCTTCTGCTTCCGACTCCGACAATCTGGTTGTCACTAGATCATAAGCGGAACGTAAGGGACGGACTAGTCAGCGGAATCGGAACGCTGTTTTCACTAGATCATAAGCTCTACGCTTCTGATTACGACTCCGACTCCGACTCCGTTACTAATGAAAACCAGCCTTTAAGCGAACAGTGGTTACATAATTGATCCTTATGGATCCTGGCTCGCAATGCAGTTGTAGCATAGCGCGATTTACTTTGACGCGAGAAAGAATGGCACGTGAACTGAAACTAAATCGGTTGCCCCTTTTTGAAGTTAGCAATGAAAATTATCGTAGATGTTCACAGCGCGATATCTGATAAGCTGCTATGGATTCCTTTTTCTAATTTAACGTCAGCTGACTTGCAGTTAAGGTTTCAGCCACACTTAAAATAGTCTGCTACACAGCCGTTTTTAGTGTCGTCACGCAACGCTCCTCCCCACTAACGGCTGCTGAAAACCGAACTACATCCCTTTCCCTTTGTGTTTGTGGTCTAACGAACAAACCAATCATGTACAAGAAATTTGACAATACGTGAGCCGCAGGGCGCTAGGAAGCGAGCACCCTTCTCAGTTTTCGACAAATCAATCAATCGTCGCTGAATTTAGACGGGCTCTGTGTTTTCAAGCAACTAGCCTGTTCCAAGCGTTCAGATAGTGGAGAGCGGTGCGAAGTAAAGAAAGCGATGAAAAGTAGAGGGGGACTGGGGAGAGAGGTGCGGGAACGCTTGTAAGAATTTTTAAGAAAAGTGCATTCCGGTATACCAGATCCTGGTATACCCTCTGATTGGTTGATTTTGACAGTTTTTGTCAACAGTGGAGCGTCTTCGATCACAGCGAGAAATGCGATATGGCGGTGATGACAGACTCTATGTCCCGTCCAGAATTCGAACTCGCCACAAACATAGCGCTGAGTGACTTTCCAAACGTGGAGGCTAAACGCGAAGAGCAAAGGAACTGTTTAAAACACGTAGTCGGCAGGATAGATGTCTTCGCAATTTCACCGACTGGCTGTGGAAGAAGACTTATTTTCCAGCTTTTTCCTCGAATAAAGCGTGCGTTGGAATGAAGGCAGGATAGAATGCCATTTACGATTGTTGTGGTAACTCCGTTGATTGCCTTCATGAAAGACCAATTGGAATATTTGAACAAAATCGGAGTAGCGGCGGCAATGATGGGAGAAGATGTGGATGAATCCGTTAAAAGTGGAAGCTGTGAAATTGTATGATCCTTAAAAATTCACTCAAAGGCGAACTGCAGTCACAAATCGTGGTTGTCTAAGGAATGGACAAAAGTACTTCAAAAGGAAAGCATGGAAAGCAAGTTGCAGCTATCGCTATTGACGAGGTCCACTCCATCACCGAATAGTAAATTTTCCCTTCGTTTGTGGGGCATTTTCATTGCTCGAGTTAACGATCTGTATTGAAACGGCTTTCTATCGAAATGAGCCATATTTGTTTGTCAGTTGATTCATAATTTTTGGTCACGTACACGCCGAAATCATGTTTTAAAGCCGTAAAAATATATAAATTACTTCTCCCGCTCTCTATTGTCTGAAAGTCTTACATTAGGTTTTTAGTAAGGTTATGTATACATAATATTAATTTTTGATCCGAGAAATTTTGATTTATTCTTTAGAAAAATAATAAATGTATGGGGCTGTAACATCAGTCTTGATTGACAAGTGAAGACCACCTACAGCTGATGAGGTCTCAGTGGGCGGATGAGTCTATTTAAAACAAATCTAACGGGCGTTCCCTCTCTCACCTCTCCCCCTCCCTCGCTTTTATTTTTTCGCGCTCCTTTTACTTCGCACCGCTCCCCACTATCTGAACGCCTGGAACAGGCTATCAAGCAACGAAAAGGTTAATTTGCAAAAAAGTTTGTTTTAACCGGTCAAGAAAGTTCCAAGTGAAAAAAAGGTTTGATAGGCCTAGAAGACTTCTACCAGGATCGGTTGGTTCTTCATTTAACGTGCATATGTACTGATATGTAATGAAGAATTTAATGTACCGGATGTGCTCATTGGTTTCCTGTGAAGACTAAACTCTCAAGGGTACTGATTCAAAAAGCAGTGTTATAAATTATCGACGAGCCATTTCCCGAAACTATACCTGGCAACTTTATGAGCACATCCATGTTGTGCATCGCAGTTCGCTCGACTTGCTTGCTTTTGCTGCTTATCTCCTAAATTTTGAATAGGACTCGACTACGACAACACTGCAGTTAATTGCTTGTTTTCACGCGACGATTTTGATTATTCTGTCATTCACTCATGGGGCAACGACAAAAGCAAAGCTGTGATTGGAGGAGTCACAGTACCGCAAAGGTGGCGCGAACACCTTCCAGAAAATGGGAGCTGAATTCTAATTGGCTATTCACGGGAAAGGAATGTAGTTCGGTTTTCAGCAGCCGTTAGTGGGGAGGAGCGTTGCGTGACGACACTAAAAACGGCTGTGTAGCAGACTACACTTAAAATTGCCATTTTTCCATATTTGAGGTTTCAACGTTTTCAAATAGGTATGCTTGAGAGCTTTCTTTAAAAAAAAAAAAAATCAGAAGAATATATTATTTTGTGTCGAGAGATATCGGGGGTACAAGATTTTTTCTCGTTAATCTTTATTGATCGTTGACAAGATCTGTCATACCCGTGTCATATATCAATTAACTTGCTTATGAACTAGTAACGTGATACCGAGTGCGTGCTTCGACACAACAGTGCAAATTGTCTTCGGGTTGTTTATAGCCTTTAGTATTATTCTCCGTGGATATTTAGCGTTTGCTTCGGTAAAAATGCCGCCAAGAAAAAAGAAAAGGTCGTGTCCGTTTTCGTCATCGAAACCGAGAGCGAAAAAGAAATCGAAGAGCGAGTTTGACAAAGAATGGGCCGCACAGTTGGCGGAGAGCGATAAGGGCTCATTTTATCAGCAAGAGAAGTGGCTCGAGGAGTTGGATATTCAGAAAAGCAAAAATGCTGCAGTTACTGAGAGTGCAAGCTGCTCCAAAATCCAGCTTGAAGAACCAGATGAAGAAAGCCAATTAAGCTCATCGACCCCATCTGCTGATGGAACGTGGAAAACAATAAGCGGTCGAGCTATCGTATCGAGCGAAAAGCTGCTTGAGAAACTGGACGAGTCTGTATCTTGTCGATTTTGCCAGGGAAGAGTCCAAGTCATGGAAAATGTAGCGACTAAGCATTGACTGGAGAATACAGTGCGAGAATGAAACCTGTCCGTCGCACAAGACAAATTCTGTTTTTAATTCTTCCGAGAAGAGCAGAGCGTTTGAAATAAACCGGGCCTCAGTTCTTGGCCTTCGAGCAATCGGTGGTGGACATTCGGCGGCTTCAAAGTTTTTTAGTTTCCTTGGCCTGGCGCCGATTAACAAAAATGCCTGGGCGGATCATACAAAAAAGATCGAAGGAGAGGCAAAACTTTTGCTCGAGGAAGAATTAAACCGTGCTTCTTGTGGTGTAAAAGAGTGGAAGTTTTCCAACGGAGAATTAAACTGTTCACTTGCTTGCCGCGAAAGTTTGTTCCTGTTACATGTTACCTGTCAAAGTCCTATTGTTAGAGAAAATTGATCCCTCTCTGATATCGATCAGAATAAACATTTAGGTGTTGTAATCTCATTCCAGGTAGGATGCCGCCAAAAATGTATTTTCTATTTTATCTCCGAACGCAAATTTTGCCGATCGACTCATACGTTTTGAACTCCAAGTCGGCAGCCTTTCCATCAATTTGGCTAAAATTTGGCCAGAGTGATGATATATCTCTTCTACAAAACCGTGTCTGCGAATTTTAATACTCCTTTTCATTTTAAAGCTAGAGCTTTTTTTCCACAGGGAGTGTTGACTAATTGCCTCCCCCAACTTCATTTGCTAATAAAAGAAAAACAAACGCACTTGTCAAAAATCTGAGACACGGCTTAACGTGTTGAGAAGCGAATACGGTGTTAATTGTTTTCTTCCGTTTATTTCCGGCGGGAGTGGAACATGATTTATAGAGACGTGTACTTTTACACAAAGCGTTCCAATTTCCAAACACATTTAAGTAAATCGTTTTTGTTAGTTCAAATCCATAATCTGGAATTATTAAGCTTTTAAAAAATATATTGTTTATAGGGGTTTTTATAAAAACAACTAACGCTACAGCAATCCGCGCGCGGACGGTCCTGAAGGATGGCTGATACCTTAAGCTCTAGCTTCAGCTCGAAAGCCTCGCGTGACTGAATCCACCGATTCATCTCTGATCCGTCCCCTTTCTGTATCATTCCAACACATCCTCGTCCCCGTTGTAAACGAACAACATTGTAACGTTTTTACGGTTCTCTTTTATTGGCAACAACAATGTGTTTTATTGCCAGGTAGGTAATTTTATCGTAAGATACATGCTTGAATGGTTGTGAAATTCTTCCTGTGCGACCTCTTACAAATGAAGTGTTTATAAAGCCCGCCCTCCTCGAGTACTTAAGGCTATGATCGAGAGCTTCTGCGGCGGCACGAAAACCACTAAGCAGGATAGGGCTTCTGTTCAATAATAATAATAATAATCCATTTATATAGCGCCTTTTCTACAAGATTCAAAGGCGCTGTTTACAAAAATTAGATAGAACTAAAAAGTAAAATAATCACAAGAAATTGACATTAAAACTAGACGCTAACTACAAATTAGATAAATGTATACAATAGATAAAAAATCAGATAACAAATAAAAACATCACGATTCATAAGCTCGCATAAAAAGAAATGTTTTAAGTTTGCGTTTAAAATCATCAATTGAGTTTGCAGATTTCATATCCTCAGGTAAGTTATTCCAAAGTTCCGGAGCAGCAACAGAAAAAGCTCGTTTACCATACGAATTGAGATTAAAATAGGGTTTAACTAATAAATTTCTATTAGAGGATCTAAGATTGCGGTTGGGCATATACAATTGAAGGAGTTCCTGTATATAGATCGGAGCTCGATCATGTAGTACTTTGTAATTAATTAACATAATTTTAAATTCAATACGAAAGGAGACAGGGAGCCAGTGAAGATCCCTCAGGACTGGAGTAATATGGCAAAATCTTGGACACTGGTTGACAAGGCGAGCAGCAGAATTTTAAACATGTTGAAGCTTCCGAATAAGATAGGATGGTAGACCGTGCAATAAAGAATTACAATAATCAAGCCTAGAAACTACGAAGGCATGGATAATGATCTTTGCAGCATCATAAGTAAGATATTTGCGTATGAAACCAATGTTACGAAGATGGAAAAAGGACGATTGACAGACTGCATTGACATGAGGTACCATACAAAGGGACTGATCGAAGTTAACTCCAATATTGCGTGCACTGGGGGAGCAGGATACAGTCTCATTATATATTAAGATAGTGGTGGCCGAGGTCGAGGGGAAGAGGATATTACGAGAGCTTCGGACTTGTCTCTATTCAATTTCAGCTTGTTGGAAAGCATCCATGCGTCCATGTCCCGAACACAGTTTACCAATTTGGCGTTACTCAGATTCATATCAGAAACAGACGACGTCCTGAACGTAATATATAGCTGAGTGTCATCAGCATAAAAGTGGTAGAACATTTGATGACGTCGAGCAATCTCGCCAAGAGGGGATGTGTACATTGAATATAACAACGGGCCAAGAACGGATCCCTGCGGTACACCAAACTCAAGAACATGAGAAGCAGAGCACGCACCATTAACCTGCACAAACTGTGTACGATCCGAAAGATATGATCAAAACCATTCCAATATAGTTCCAGTAATTCCAAAGCTATGTCATTGTGGACTCTAATAAGAGCCGTCTCTGTACTATGGTTTCTCTTATAGGCCGATTGATATGTTTCACCAAGGTCATTAATATCTAAGTATTGAATCAGCTGTTTAGCAACACATTTTTCAATACTTTTGGATAGGAAACGAAGATTAGAAATAGGCCTATAGTTCTTGAAGTCGTTCGAATCCAGAGACGGCTTTTTGAGCAATGGCTTAAGTATAGCTTGTTTAAGTATTTCAGGCATCCGACCAGTTTGACAATCTTATGTATTACTGGGAGAATAGAACGAAGCAGACATTTAAGTACATGACCAGGAACAGGATCTAAATCACAGGACATAGGGGTAGTTGAGCCGATGATACTCAAGAGTTCATCCGGTGGAACAGTCGAAAACATGTTCAGTTGACAGCCTGTAGTACCGTTATCTACAGCAGTATCCAAAGGTGAGACTTGATCAAGGTCACGACGGATTCTTCTGATCTTGTCTTCAAAGAATAGAACAAAATCATTAGCCAAAGAAGACGAGGAATCATGCTTTGGGTACTTCGCCTCATGACGTCGATGAAGTAGTTTACTAAAAACTGCGAAAAGCGATCTCATGTTAGACTGATTCTCAGCAGCTAGATTTGAATAATAGTTACTTCTTGATGAAGATAGCAAGTCCTTAAGAACTTTACATTGACGCGTGTAAGCTTCACGATCACGCATAGAACGGGAAGCACGCCACCGTCGCTCAAGCCGTCTTTTTTCCCTCTTCTGAGACTTTAATTCTTCTGAGTACCAAGGCGCCGTTGGGCGAATGGTAACGGTACGCTTTTTAACGGGGAACATGTCTGTTAAAGATTCCAGATAGCTCAGGGACCGGTCATTATTTACCGGGGGGGCTACTATTTTTTCAAAAAGTGGTTGAAAAAAAATATGACCCTCCCCTTCAACATGACAAAAAAATTATGACCCTCCCCTAGCGAAGGGTGAAAAAAATTGTGACCCTCCCCCTATCCCTTTTTCTTATTTTCATCTAATTTTCTTTAACAAAAACAA